GGTGCCTATAGTAGGAGTCTTTGCACTGAGAGGGTCAAGATGAATTGTTATTAACCTCCTGAAAGTTCTCCATGATGAGCCCTCAAGCAGATGGGATTGCTTTTTCATGGAAGAAGTTAGGGATCCAGGTCTCCCTTTCCCCAGCATCTCACAGGATGAAGTATTAAGGGATCTCTGCCAGCCTAGCTGAGTTTGGCTTTCATAAGAGAGCAGTATCAGGGAGAACAGCAGAGGTGAGAGCAATGCTCATTCCTTCTGGCCCTTTCCTTGTGCCAAGTGCTGTTAATGCATCTCCTGCAGGGGAGCTGAAGGAGCCTGGGGTGACACAGATTCCCTGGTCCAAAGGAGATACCAGAGTGAGAGGAACCATGGAGAGGATCTATGCTGTCTCCTTTAATTGTCAGATGAGAAAACTGAGGCCCTGAGAGGAAAGGAGATCTTCTCAAAGCACACAGAAGATAAAGATAGAGCTTTGGGTAGAGGCTCAGAGCTCCAAGACACTCAGTACTTTCTACTGTCTGTTGCTCACTCATCTGTTAGTTAACATCAGGAATTCCTCATAGAGGCAGAAATATGAATATTTATCTTTTAATAAATCCCTCTCTCCACACACACAATTCCTCAATGGAAAAGGTTAAATACCAAATACACTACCAAGAAAACCCTTTAGTATTGATGAATTAATGAATTTAAGCCCAAGTATCAGTTTAACAACAGATACAAATCAATTTACAGAGCTGAAGATGACGCAGGGCTTCCACTGCGGAAGGAGTGGGATGGAGGCAAGGAGAGTGTCCCCTGCTGAAGAACCACAAACTTGACAGATGTCACAGTCTAGCCCACCCTGATCCCTGCGTAAGAATAAAATTGTTGTCAGGACAAACAGAAGCAGCAAATAGAGCTATAGCTGCAAGGACTGACAACACCACTTTGCATTAACTATAATGTTCTATTTATAACATCGTTGATAAATAATGGAAGCGTGGTGTCCTGGATTAAATTGCGCCCCTACCCCAAATATGGGTTAGAATCATAGCCCCTGTGGATGTAATGTAGTGTAATCACCTTCCACAATGCAAGTTAAAAGAACTAATCAATCAGTTGAGGTCTTACCAGTGCATTGTTGTTGTTGTTTGCCGTC